GATATTGATACATAATATTTAGTAAGCTTTTTATTAGCCATGAGAAAAATATTTGCAATTCTCAAATTGTATAAAATTACTGTAAGCCAAAATCCCCAGTATCTTCTCTAATAGTTGCAAAATACACATTCACAAAAAAATACCAAGAAATGTAAATTTAGCTGCTGAAGATCACAAGTGCATTTCATCTTGCTTACTTCATCATCACTTACTAATGTATATAGATTAAATGGAAATGAAGGTGGATGTGGTGGCATTCACCTATGATCCCAAAATCACCTATGATCCCAAAATTTTGAAGGCTAAGGGGAGAGCCTGGTGAGTTTGACTGAAGTCAGTTTGACCTACAGAGTGAGACCCTCTCTCTCACAGAGAAATACAACAAAATCAAAGCAGAAAATATATAGTGTAGAATTTTGAAATCATTTTCAATGAAATGGAACAAAATGAAGCCAATAACTGTCATTAAGTCACTGGCCACAGAGTATCAACAACACAAAACCCAATTGTTAGAAATATGAGTTAATGTTGCAAGCATTAGGGAACTTTCATTTGTTTTGAAAATTTTACTTTAAAAGTCTGGTCTGGTGGACTAGGCAGGGCCCATAACTCTGATCAAGTCAACCAGAAAACAGAGGACACACTCTCCATTTTCCTTAAAGTTCATTTTATTACATGAAAATATTTGATACAACCCAAAGTGTTTCACTCAAGTGATGTACAGGTGTTCACATTTGTAGCCCTGGCACACATTATACTATTGCTCTATTCTTATTCTTTGTTGTCCAATAATATCACACACACACACACACACACACACACACACACACACACTTACTTCCTGAACATTTTCACATCTTTTCCATATCCGCAACATGTTACGTGTGATCAAGCTCTGGGTCTGACTGCTTTCCCACAGTCTCTGCAGTGACAGACTTCCGGTGCTGCTGCTTCATCTCAGGGGAGCTGGCTCATAACTGTGAGATTATCATATTCTAGTCAGTGTCTGTGTGCTTCCAGAGGCACCTGTGCTAAACTCAATTTTCAAAAATCACTTATACATTTAAACTATTTAAGAAGATCAAGTAATTGCTAAGAATTAATACCTTATTAACTACTAATCGTGTTTTCTTGCTGGCATTATGTGTTTCTGAAGATCCTCTCATGGAACTAGTTTGGGTGGCGAAGGTATTCATCTTCCTGACATTCCTGTTGACTTATTAATGTTGCTGAGAGCCAACACCATGTTATCATGTCATCTGGATGTCACATAATCACTTCATGTTCTCTTTGACCAGTCATATTGCTCTTTGGCCATTACTCCCTAAATATGGTAAAAATTAAAGTGAAAATGATACTTGATCTAATATGATTGTATGTTCATTATTTTATTATCTCCGCAAAGCAGAAAGAAAAGACCATCATAAATTCATAAAACAAGACTGTTTTAAAATCCAATACTGTGATTATGAAGGGGTAAAGTTGATTTTCTTCAGGGAATGTGGAGCTGAGCAGGAAGCAGCTCTTGGGTTTTTGTTTTTTTTTTTTTGCATATTTCTTCAGGCAGCTACTTGCAGACTGCTTAGTCTTTTAGTTTAGGTTGATTTAATGGTGATGGCTTCTCCACCATTATGAATATTTGTGGACATACTTTGGGTTTTACAACATACTTACAACTAAATATTACAACTATGGGGAAATCCAGAAAGATCAGTAACCACCACCTTCAGTGTTGACTCTAACTGTGCTCCAGTTTTTCCTATCAGCTTGAGTAGCCCCAACCTTTACCCTCCTACAGACTTTGAGGTGTTTATACAGTGTGTCATAGAAGGTCCAATTCTCCTTGGCACTGTAGTACTTTGTAGACTCTATCTCTGGTCTTTTCTTCTATTCTATGGGTTCCTGGTTGTATTACCTTAGGATAATTCTTTTTGTTCTTTTGTTAGGGAACTGCCAGAGACATCAATTAAAAATGTCTAATAAATAGTTAAAATTTAAATGAAAATAAACGTCTTGGATTGGTGTGCATACTAAGTTACTCCAGCATTAGGAGACAGAAGCAGAAGGAACATGAATTTGAGAACATCCTGGGCTACATAGCAAGGTCAAGGCCAGTGTCCTCTGAAGAGTGAGGTCCTGTCTTAAAAACAGAAGCACAAACAAAACCACAGAGCTCGAGGGTATGTATGTCTTTGTTTTAGGGGCTTTTGTAGAATGTGCAGAATACTTAGGTTGATCTAAACATTGCAAATTTTTTTCATATAAAACAAATGAATTTTCTCAGTGATTATATAAATGAATATATACCTCAGTTTGTAGCTATGGTAGCTATGGACTTTTCTGGTCCAGTTTCAACTCGGGTGAACCCTAAGAGAAAGATGCCACTTGATTATTTAGAATTTGTGCCATTTTCTGTATTGCTGCACATTTATAAAGCAATGGATATGAAATAGAGAGGTTGAAGTGCATATATTGTATAAGAAAAATTTAGATTATTATCTTTTATATTATGTTTTCCTCTTTTTATGGTTTATAATACATGTTGTATATTAATAAGTTGTAGATATATAATTAATAATAAATCATTATAATTGTGTGGTTTGACCATTTAGAATTTTAAAGTTGGAATTGAGCTACTGTTCTTAGTATTTGGAGACCAACACTTGAATTAAATATTATCCTGGAGCTTTTATTTATTAACATTTATTATTTTATTTTTTATACATGACTGTTTTGCCTGCAAGTATGTCTGCTCACCAGCTGCTTGTCTGACTCAGAAGAAGACCATAGATATCCTGGAACTAGTTTCAGATGGTCATGACCCACCATGTCATTGGTGGGAGAATCAAATTCAGGTCGTCCCCAAGAGAGAAAAGAACTCTTAACACCGAGCCATGTTTCCAATACCTATTCTGTATCTTTTAAAACACAGAACATTACTGTACAGCTACTGTAAACTTATGCTGGTGAGAGAATGAGAGATGTTTGGCTGGCAATTGGGATGAATCTATTCATTTACTAGATTAATCTTTTTAAGAGCAAAAATCCTGTAGTTATAAAATGTATGTTAATGTGTTTCATATCCATGGGAAGGTTTTAGAGTGAGTTCACCCACTAACGTCTGCATTATTTCTTTCTTCCTTTCCTCTTTCTTTCTTTCTTTCTTTCTTTCTTTCTTTCTTTCTTTCTTTCTTTCTTTCTTTCTCTTCCTTCCTTCCCTCCTTTCTTCCTTCCTGTCTTTTTTGAGACAATGTCTCTCCGTGTAGCTCTGGCTGTCCTGGAACTCACTCTGTTAACCAGGCTGGCCAGGAACTCACAGATATCTGCCTACTGCTACTTCCTTAGCTCTGGGATTAAAGGCATGTGCCACCACCACCCAGGTCCTCATCATTTCTATCCATCCATGCATGCATTAATTTAGATATGTGGAATATAGTAATGAACTTGAAAATGGAATTGGGCACTCTTTTTCTCACAAAGACTGAGTCAAGATAATTGTTTTCTATTTATCACAGAGCTAATCCTAAAGTGCTGAATTATATTAATTTGATGAAATAGTGCCACTGGTCACCAGGCCAGATCACCAAAGGTAAGACTGTTGAGTGAACCTGTAAAATCTGTTTGGGTACTGATGACATATAATAACACTGGAGACCTTGATTTCCACTGCATGGGAAGGAATCTTTTTTAAAACAAATTCCAAAAGAGGATCACTATGTGGTTATCTTCAGCAAATTCAAGTTTGTCAGAGTTTTTGAAAATAGCATTTGTCTTAGTGTTGCATGTTCTCTCTTGTTGGAGGATCTTAGCTCCACATAGTCACATGTGAGCATGTAGCCTGTAATAACTTCAGAAAGCAGGTAAACAAAAAGGGACAATTGCCAGGATAGGGTTGGTGGTGGTGGGGAACAGTGGAGAGGGGACAAGTAATAAAAGGGTACAAGTATTCTGATCAGGGAAATGGGATAAGGGGGATTCTTAGGGAGAGAGAGGAGGGTAAATCCAGAAGAAGGTGGGAATTGGGTAAAGGGAAATAGCATAATACAATTGATTTGATTGGGGAAATAGAAAAACTGGTGGGGAGGCTCCTTAGCAAAGGGGAATGGAGATAAATACATAAGGAGGATGTAGTTTGGAAAAATAATAATATGAATTGCTGAAGAAGTCACAGGATTCACACTATTAACAATTTAAATCCTCCCCAAAGAAAAGAAAAATAGTGTTTGTCATGATAGCTGGAAGTTAGTTCTTTAAACTTGAAACGTAGTTCACAAAAGGTTTAAATGGGATGGGAAGTAACCTGAGAGATATGTAGGACCATGTATAACCACAATGGTTATACATTAGAGGGTGGAAAGTGCAGTAATGGTCTCCAGTTTTTCCTATGTCTTTGATTATGAATTGAGGTAGACATTTTACTGATTAAAATAGCGGGGTTATCATAAATTTGTCACTGTGATTCCATTAGAATTATGAGGCAAAACATGAATAGTTGCAAAATAGAGTTATGAAAATTATTGATTACAAGAATGACTCACCTGAGTTTTTGGATTTCTTTTGTGATTCTTTCCCAGATCAGCACAATTTTTGTTCATTTGTACAAGTGTGACTAATATTGTGTACATCACTATTGTTTCAGGTGTTAAGTATAAAATAAGGCAATATAAATCAATAGGATTGGATTACTGAGACATGAGTTTCAGGTGCAATATAGGCACTTGAATTGTAAGCTCTATATAGACTGTGACCTCAGTGCATTTATTATCTATAATAAGCTATATATACAGTAAGTACATGGAGGGTGTATAGAAATATTGGCCATGTCCACTCTGGAACATCAAAAGTAAAGTGACAGGTGAATCAAGAATAAGTAAGTAAAATAGAATGATGATATAAACATATTGACCATTGAATCACAAGTTTGATGTGTACTCTATTATTTTTCCAGGTATGTGAAATATGTTTCCACTATGATGTTAAGATGACTATACTTTCCATTTATGTCCTCATTAAAGAATGTCCTTTATTTCCAAGCTGGACTTGGAGTCCTTGCCAATGTATTTCTCGTTTTTTTCTATACTTTCATAATTCTAGTTCATAAATCTAAGCTCATGGACCTGATCTCCTGTCAGCTGCCCTTCATCCACATAATGCTGGTCCTCACTGGAGGGGATATGTGGCTTACAGATATATTTCAGTCACTGAACAAGGCAAGTTTTTACATACACAGAATGATGAGAGGCCTCTCCATCTGCATCACCTGTCTCCTGAGTGTGTTTCAGGCTGTCACTGTAAGTCCCAGTACCTCTTTGCTGGCAAAATTTAAATATAAACTAAAAAAATACATGATCTATGCTTTCTTCTATATGTGGTTTCTCAACTTGTCATTCAGTACCAACCGGATCTTCTATGTTGGAGCTTTTACCAATGTCAGTGAGACCAACCAGATGAGGATCACCAAATATTGCTCACTCTTCCCCATGAACTACATCATCAGGGTGCTGATTTTAACAGCAACAACCTCCAGGGATGTATTTCTTGTAGGAGTTATGCTGACCACAAGTGCATACATGGTGATTACCTTGTTTAGACATCAGAGGCAGTGCAAATATCTTCACAACCCTGTCAGCCACCTGAGAGCATCCCCTGAGAAAAGGGCCACCCAGACCATCTTGCTGCTTGTGGTTTTATTTGTGGTCACATACTGGGTGGACTTCATCATCTCATCTACCTCAGGTCTATTATGGATGTACCACCCAGTCATCCTGACTGTTCAGAAGTTTGTGGTGAATGCCTATCCCACAATTACTCCTTTGGTCCAAATCAGTTCTGATAACAGAATAATCAATATGCTGAAAAATTTACGGTCAAAGTGCCACCAGATTTTTTTAAATGTGTATTTTTTTCTTGTTTAAAAATTCATTTATTTTAATTTTTGTGATTGAATGTTGTTCCATGCATTCCTGGTGCCCACAGAGGCCAGAAGAGGTCATAGAATCTCTTGAAACTGGAGTTACAGAGAGTTGTAAGGAGTCATGCTGGTTCAGCACAATAATTCATTCTAATAAACAGATTTTTCTTTAACTGATTAATAATCCAAGTAGCAAATCATGATTCTTCATATATTTAATTACATTTTTTGTGGTATAATACATATACATTCTTGTGACAATTCTGCTGCCAAGTACTGTATAGTTCTTTATGTTCATTGTAAACCATAGTTGATATTTCCACAGGAAGTCTTTTACTCTTTCCTTTTTACATAAATGTTCTCTTGATGCTGAGGTTACTTTTTGATAGTGACTTTTAAAACTTTTGCTTTGAAAATATTTTAATCTACTCTTACTAATCGAGAATTAAAATAAGCCAGGTGGTGGTGGCGCATGCCTTTAATCTCAGCACTTGGGAGACAGAGTCCAGCAATTCTCTGTGAGTTCAAGGCCAGCATGGTCTACAGAGCAAGTTCCAGGACAGGCTCCAAATCAACAGAGAAACCCTGTCTCAAACAAACAAACAAACAAACAAACAAATGGTTAGTTAAAATATCTGATTTTAGTTTTAATTCTGTTTCCTAATAGTAATTTCTGTGGGCTCGTAAAAATGAAGTAAATTTCAATTTTCCACTTTTTCACTAAAGTTACTTAATGACTCTGACATGAAGTTTTCATGTGCCTGTGTATTTTCATTTCATTTCATCTATGCTTACTGCAATGTTATTGTTAGGTAAAAATATACATTCATATTGTCCAGTGTGTTTCTTGTGTATATGTATGCATGCATGTGTGCACAGATGAAGGATGTGTGAGTATGGACACTGCAGGCCAGGAGACAACCTTGGCTCTTGTTCTTCAGAAGCCTTTCACCTTGTGTTTTGGGAGAGCATCTCTTATTGTAACCTGGGGCTTACCAAACAGGCCAAGATGGTAGCCCCAGGCATTCTTGGTTCTTTGCAGCTACAATTCTGGGATTAAAAGTATTCACCACCATGCCCCACCTTTTTAGAGCATTTTTCCTTAGATTTGTTTCATACAATATATTCAGATTAGGTTTCCCTTCCCCCTACTCCTCTCAGTTCCTTCCACCTCCCCTCCAATAAACAACACTAAGATAAAATGAAAACAAGTAACTTAGAATAGGAAAAAAAGAGCCAAAGTAAAAGCACAAGAAACACACGTATTTTTACACATAGAAATCCCATTAAACAAAAACAAAAGCCATTCTATAGACATAAAGAGGTGTGAAGATTCCATTTAGATTGCTTTGTGTTCATTATCTACTGCAGGGCATGGAACCTAGCCTTAAGATTGGTTTGTATTCCCTAGTACACCACAAGATCCAACAATCCCACTCTTAGGCATATACCCAAAAGAAGCACATTCATACAACAAGGATATCTGTTCAATGATGTTCATAGCAGCACTATTTGTAATAGCTAGAACCTGGAAGCAACCTAGATGCCTCTCAACTGAAGAATGGATAGAGAAAATGTGGTACATTTACACAATGGAGTACTACTCAGCAGAAAAAAAAAACAATGGAATGTTGAAATTTGCAGGAAAATGGATGGAACTAGAAGAAAACATTCTGAGCAAGGGAACCCAATCACAAAAAAACAAACATGGTATGTACTTACTCATATGTGGATTTTAGACATAGAGTAAAGGATTACCAGACTACAATTCACATTGCCAGAAAAGCTAGTAAACAAGGAGGACCCTAAGAGAGGCATACATGCTCCCCTGGAGAAGGGGAAAGGGACAAGATCTCTTGAGCATTGGGAGCAAGGGAGGGGTGGAGGGAGCTAGGAGAATGAGAAAGGGAGAAGAGGAGGGGTGAGGAGGACATGAGGGATCACAAAGGTTGAGTTGGGGGAAGAATAGAAGAAAACAAGAAAGGAGATACCATAATAGAGGGAGACATTTTAGGTTTACAGAGAAATCAGGCACTAGGGAAATGTCTGGAGATCTACAAAGATGACACCAGCTAACAATCTAAGCAACAGAGGAGAGGCTACCTTAAATGCCCTCCCCTGATAATGAGATGGATGACTGTCTTATATAGCATCCTTTAGCCTTCATCCAGCAGCTGGTGGAAGTAGAAGCAGAAACTCACAACTAATCACTGAACTGAACTGGAATCCAGCTGCAGAGAACAAGTGATGAGCAAAGGGGCCCAGACCAGGCTGTTGAAACCACAGAAACAGCTGACCTAAACAATGAGGAGCTCTTGGTCCCCAGACTGATAGCTAGGATACCAGCATGGGACTGATCCAGGTGCCAGGAACATGGGTTTCAGTGAGGAGACCTTGGAAATCTACGGGACCTCCTGTAGTAGTTCAGTACTTATCCCTAACATAGGTGTGGACTTTGGGAGCCCATTCCACATAGAGGGATATTCCCTGAGCCAAGACAGACTGGTGTGGGCCATACCCTATCCCAAAGGATATGATAGATTCTGATGATCCCCTATGGAAGGCCTCACCCTCCCTGGGGAGCAGAAAGGATATGTGATAGGTATGGTTTTAGTTGGGGGGAGTGGGATGGGAGGAGGGGAGGGAGTAGGAACTGGGATTGACATGTAAAACAATCTTGTTTCTAATTCAAATAAAAAATAATAGCAAAAAAAAAGAGATTTCTTTTTATTCCCAGTGAAACTCCCTTGGAGAAAACTAATTTTTCATTTGCAAGTGGCTATGAAATGGAGATAGTTTCTGGGTTAGGAGTGAGGGCCTATGTCCACTTGTCCTCTCAGCTCTAGGGCTCCATCTGGTGCAGACCTGTGCAGGTCCTGTGCATGCTGCTACAGTCTCTGTTATGTGTTGGTGTGATATGTGTAGAAGGCCCTGTTTCCTTGGTGTTCTCAATCCCTCTGGCTCTCACACTCTTCCTACCTCCTCTTTCACAGTTTCCTGAGCCATGAGGGGAAAGAATTGATGGAGACATCCCATTTAGTGCTTTTGAGGTCTCTCTCTGCATATTTTCTGGCTGTGGATCTCGGTATTTTTTCCCATCTGCTCCAGGAGGAAGCTTCTCTGATGATGGCTGAGCAAGGCACTGATCTATGAGTATAGCAGAATGCCATTAGGAGTCATTTTATTGCTACATTCTTTTAGCAGAAAAGTAGTATTTGGTTTCTTCTAGGTCCATGACCAATCTAATCTCTGGTTCTTATCCACCCACACAGTGCCAAGTCTGGGTTTTATCTCACAGAGTACATGCTTTAAATCAAATCAAATATTGGTTGGTTACTCCCACAGGCTTTGTGGGAAAACTACACCAGCATATCTTGCAGGCAGGTCACCTTTGTAGACTGAAGTGTTACTAAGTGGGTTCGTGTTTATTTTTCTCTTTTCATAGTGTTCAGAGTACGTTCCAGAGTGATGAACACTAATCCACAGGAGTGAAGGTTCTGGATAGGTACCAGCTGAAATTTTCCACATTCAATGATTTGTGTAGGTGTTGTCTTCAGCAATAAGGCCTAACTATCATTTTGTGTAGAATAACCAATAGCCTTGGCAATAGTCTGGGTTGTTTTGCAGTTTCCATTGGGGCATATTTGTCCAATAACTCCATTGATATAACCCATTCCTGTTATATCTTCACTTGGTGAATAGATATGTCCTATTGGGATTCTGTCTTCCTTGTTAATGGTTATTTCATTTGGATCACCTTCATATATATGCAAGTTCCAAGTGTATTAGGTTCCAATACAACTCCTCAAAAGTTCCTTAGATTTAGTTATTTCTCTATTCATTGCCTTTCATTCCTCCACTTTCCTCTCTATCCCTGTTTGACCCTCCCATTCCAACTCCCTCCATCCATCCATCACTATCTCTTCTCTCTGCCCTTCCTAAGGAGATCTATCCACTTTCTACTCCCCTACTCTATACCTAACTTCTGTGGTTATATGTGCTGTAGCTTATCATCAATGACTTAACTGCTAAAAATCCACATATAATCAAGTACATGCTGCATTTGTATTCCTGGGTCTGGGCGACCTCATTCAGAATCACTTTTTTTTCTAGTTTTCTCCATTTACCTGCAATTTTGTGGTTCCATTATTTTAAATGGCAGTAATATTCCAGTTCGTAAACGTACCACATTTTCTTTATTCATTCATTCATGGGTGGACATTTAGGTTGTTTCCAATTTCTGGATATTGTGAACAGAGCAACAATGAACATGGTTAACCAAGAGTGCCTGTAGTTGGATGAAGTGTCTTTTGGGTATCAGCCCAATAATGGTATAGCTGGATCTATTCCCAGTTTCATGAGGAACTGCCACACTGATTTTCACAGTGGACCTTGAAGTTTACACTCCCAACAGCAATGGATGAGTGATCTCCTTACTCTATATCCTCCCAATCATAAGCTTTTATTTTTTATTGATCTTGGACATTCTGACTGGTGTAAGATGAAATCTCAAAGTAGTTTTGATTTGCATTTCCTTGATGACTAGGGATACTGAAAAGCTCTTTAGCTGATTATCAGATATTTGTGTTTCCTCTTTGCAACTTCTCTGTACCTCACTTCTAAATTAGGTTATTTGCTTGTTGTCTACTTTTCAAGTTCTTTCTGTATTTTGTAGATTATTTCTTTATCAGATGTGTGGTCAGTAAAAGTGTTTTCCCATTCTGTAGCCTTCTGCTTTTTGTGGATGATGGTGTCTTGTCATACTGAAGGTTTTCAGATTCATGAGGTCCTGATATTAATTGTTGTTCATAGTACCTGTACTAATGGTGTCCTGTTCAGAAAGTGTTTTCTTTTGCCAATGAGTTCAAGGCTATTCCCTTCTTTCTCTTCTATGAGAATATCTGGTCTTATGTTGAGGTGTTTGATCCTCTTGTAGTTGAGTTCTGTGCAGTGTGATAATTATGGATGTGTTTGCACTCTTTTACATGTGGCCATCCAATTTTA